ATCTGCTACTTTTCTCTTTCGTATAGCCCGTTCGTCCACACGAGGCCTAACGGAAACGCGGAAACGGATCCTTAAAACGATAACGGGTCCCAAGGTGGATAGATCTGCGGACGGAACGCTCTGGGGGGCCAAACAGCTTCCTGTGTACGTCCTATACGATCATTTTCCAGATAACAATGAAGCCATAGCCCCACCTCTCCCCACCTCTGCTGCTCACTGCTCAGATGCGAGTGCAACATCTACAGCTCCTCTACCACAACCATAAGCATCAAGTGGACATGGAGAACTACATGAACTACATGTCGCTAAATCCACTGCGGAGAATAAACAGAAGGGCAACTATGCCCGGGGGTCTTCTTCGCTGCTTTTGGTGTATATTCTTACAGGCCCGGCATATGTACTACAGCTTCTCCAGCACTTTCGAGCGGTGTCGTGTGAACGGAAGACTTTTTTGATATCGTATTCGGTTCGTTTTCGTGTAAATGGGGTCTCAGTGTCTCTTCTTCTAGTTCTCAGTCCTGACAATTGGCTTCAGTGTTTCCCCTACCATTGTCTTGGCGGGGTGCTGCGCCCTGCCAACGGAGCCCCGCGCCCCCCCTGAAATTCAAGGTGTTTAAAAAAAAAACAAAAAAAGAATTATTTTATTTTTTTACATTTTTTATTTCAAACCAAATTGCAACTAATCTATATCTACTGTCACTTTTCACATTGAACATGTGCTCTTTTATTAAATAAACTAAACATTTTCATTTTAAGTTGTTAGTTTAGTGTCTTTGATCCTAAGAAACACTGATGCACTAATCTATAACAATAATCCACAGCTCCTCTCTCTGCTCCAGAGGATTTAAAAAAAACATATCCCAATGTCAACCCCCGAGTTAAAGATTAACGTTCTCTGGTCACTTATCAAACCTGAGCTGCACTGATGGCCAGGATTGTGAGAATATCCACGTAGGATCATAATATCATGATTTAGATTAGATTTAGATTTAGCCTGACTGTGTTTCTGTGTCTTCAGGATGTGATGGCAGTCAGCAGTTCAACTGAAAAAACTCTGCCATTCCCCATCATCGCTGACCACAACAGAGCGCTGTCCATCGAGCTGGGCATGCTGGACCCCGATGAGAGAGACAGCGATGGGCTGCCCCTCACTGCTCGCTGCGTAAGAAACCTGTCCTCCATCTTGAATCAGTTCTGGACATGTGTTTTTATTACATACAAAAAAATGGCCAAAAAGATGCAGAATGCCAGTGAAACTTGCCTTTTTCAGAATCCTGTCCTGACCAAACTTTTTTGTTCTGTAAAAGGTTTTGGTCTCTTCTGTCTAATTTTGTTGCAGCGGACAAACCTATTTTCTGATGGTGAAGCATCAGAGCTAAATGATGGCTTTGTGCAAAACAGGCTGTTGATTGACTATTAGTCACACAGTGTTTGCATCTTAACAGCTTGGGTTTAGAAATCCTCATATGGAATACAAATCGCTATCACAATAACTGTTTCTGTACTTCTAAACGGATTGAAGGAAATATAATCAAAAAAATATATAGTGCATTTTTTATTTATTTATAAGATTTGTTTTTGTCACCTAATTTAAAAGAAAGCATTTGTCGTATGTAACATTGACCCTCCAGCATTTTTAACCCACTTCAGGTCTTCGTGATTGGCCCTGACAAGAAGATGAAGCTGTCCATCCTCTACCCCGCCACCACAGGAAGGAACTTTGATGAGTTGCTCCGAGCTATCGACTCTCTGCAGCTCACGGCACAGAAGAAGGTTGCCACACCTGTCGACTGGAAGGTAAATGGCTAAACTGTGTGATTCACGAGCTTGGGCTAAGAAAAAAGCTAACAGTCTCCTTGTTTAAGCTTTATATTTAGCGTACAGTCTTAAGAGTGTCATATATGTCACATATGCTATCTTCAATACATTGGTTGTGGTTAAATACAGTATAGACCTAACAATCAGTCAAAGCCTTCAACACAACAGTTCAAGCCTCCAGAAAACAATCTTCAAAAAGTTTTTTTAGCATGCATTAAATGAATTTACCAGCCCTTAAGTGCAAAGCTACAAGATAAGATAAGACGGTACTTTATTGATCCCAATTTGGGAAATTGTTTTTGTTGCAGCAGCAAGTGTAGGAGCAAGAGATAATTGTTATATCAAATCAAGCTTTTCTTCCAAACACAGTATAACTGCACTGTATGTGCCCTTATTTTAACTGGGAACACTGAAGAAAATAACCAAAAGCCAAATTACACAGGAGCAATATGAGGCGGCTGTGAAGACCTCCTGTAGGACTGTTATCAAAACTAGACCTTCCTCTTCAAAAACTTTTCCTTTCTCTTTCAGCTTGGTGACAAAGCCATGGTCATTCCTTCACTCTCTGATGCTGAAGCTGCTGCTCTTTTCCCAAACGGCGTGACCACTAAAGAGGTGCCTTCTGGGAAGAATTACTTGCGCTACACCCAGCCCTAAAGAAACACTAGGGACGAAAATCTTTGTATAGATTACTACTCTTTGATAAATGGATATCATTGGATGATAACACTTAAAACTGACCAAAAGCATATATTCACCAATTTGGAAGTTAATGTCATGCTGCGTTACTAGCTATGAACAGAGATGATATACGGTCTCATTTTAAAGTGCCTTGTTTCAATCAATAAACACACTTTTCACATAATGTTCTCTGAATCTTTGAGTCTTTTCACACCACACGAGGGGCAGTTTGGTAACATTTTCTCTGCCATAAATGACTGTGCCACTAGGTGTCCTTCTACAACCTTAACTCGGAATATCACTTTGCTGCAGTTCCATTTTATACCAATAGGGGGCAGTATATGCACACTGATTGACTCACTGATGGTACCCACAGACAGCAATTAGGTTGAAAGCAACAATCTGTTCTCAACAACACAGAGATGGGGAGTGGTACCACATGTCATAAAAGTACTAGTTTATTTACATTTCCATAAAGGAAAAAGAGGATTGGCCACATCAAGTTGATCTTCTTTCAGCAATGTTTCTCAAAGTACACAGTGAGGTTTACAAAGCGTTCTCCCCTTTCACTCTGCTTTTTTTTAAATCATTTTTGCCAACTCAGCAGTACAGGCTAATGCCCTAGCTGTCTAAATGTCTTAATGTGCAATGAATTAGTCATTTAAATTGATTGTTTTGGTTCTTCTATGCTTCACGCTAAGGCTTTTCAAATGCCATTCTCCAAATGAAACTCCCCAGCTGCACAATTAAAGAGGATGCAAAATATGGTAAATAACTACATTAGTGCATTTACTCAGTTAACATTTCCAAGTACAATTTAAGGGTACTTTTACTTCTAGTATACATTTAGATTCCCATTGCTACATTTTCAGTATTCTCTCAAGTGATGTTTACACTTTAACAATTTATGATAAGATGCACAAGTACATTTACGTAAATAACCTACTTTTTAAGGTACTTTATTTTATTATATAGTATAATGTGTGTATATACTGAGTTTACGGTGCTTTAAAAAGCTGCTCAACTTAATTTTAATGGAGAAATGTCCTTTATTCTCCACTACATTTTGAAGTTACTGGTTATTTTACACATTAAGATTCTCTATTTACATTTCCCCTCTAAAATTCTCACATTTAATTTGAATAACAAATAATATCTATTAATTGAAAAAGAATACATAAAAGTCAGACGTATGAACACACATGTGTGATGCATTATTTTGTTTTTTCGTCTCCCATTAATCATATTCCTTTCCCTCAGATGATCTCGGTACTCATTGGAGGGGCCTGACCCCTTTGCTGAGACAAACAGGACACATATTTTTACTTTCGATAATATCAATATATTATGCTGAGAAAAACCTTCTTATTTAAGTGGAAAATATGAATGCAAAACTTGTAATCGAAATGTCTTTCTATCTTGCATTGCCACTTTTTAAGTGCCTGACTGCATATACTCGGTCCACCGCTGAACATAAATTACTGAAGTTCTTTTATCAGCTTGCATAAATACAAATTGGGATTAATTGCAAAACAATACGAGCAATAACAGAGATTGCATAACGTCAATGAGGCATTTTGTGAATAAGCTATCTTTATTTTAATTCAGCAGAGTGAATATAAAACTATAAAGCTTCACTTAAAATCTCTGTGTCGCAGTAAACACACCTCGACAGGTCGGCCTGAACTGTAGATGAGACACTGAAGCCAGGACTGAGGTGTAGGTTTCTCTTTTGTTATTCAACCCTAAAAACTGCATGGCTGAGGACAGTATTAATTACTTCAAGTTGTTTGAAAGTGAACACTGATCTAATACCCACACTCACATGCACATACACACACATGCACATACACACACATGCACATGCACAAACGCACACACGCACGCTCTGGCCTTGTATTCACTCTGAGTCTGAGGAATGCTGAGGTCAAAGAGAAAAGATGGGATTCCCTTTGAGTGAGGAGGGAGGCAGAGAGTGTGCAGAGCCAGATAAAATATCTTTGGACCTCCTCCTTTTCACTCCTGTCATCCACACAATGCAAAGAGGAATGTTATTCTTCTTTTTTGTTTTTAATCAGTTGCTCCCTTAACAGAAATCCCCCTATAAAGAAAGTGCTATATTGTGTTTTGAATCATTGTTTCTGTTTCTGAAACGACCTTCTTCTTCACACAAACGCTGGATGCTGGCTTCTCGAATGCGTGATGAAAGTATTCATAAGGTCACCCTCCACCTCCTCTCCACCTCCTCTCCTCCTCCTTTTCCCTCTGGTGCCTATTTGGTCCTCAGGAGTCGTCCCAAATAACAGCCACACAGACACACCGTACTGATCAAATGCATTTCTCAAATTCCACACTACAATAGCCTGTGCCAGAGCATGAGAAGCGCTTTGGGTGTCAGACGCTGGCTTTAGTGCCCAGTACCAACCCCACTCCCCCCTCCCTTAATTCTGTTCATCTGCCACATCTTGCTTCTCGGCTATCGAGCCAACTCACCCCATCTCACCTCGGCAACACTAGTACATGTAATACAACACCGGCCTGGGCCAAGTCTCACAGGGCAAAACACAACACACCAGCTGCTGGCCCCTCTTTCTTTCTGCCGCTCTCTATAACACACACACACACACACACACACACGCACACACACACACACACACACACTGCTGATGATCAAAGACATAAGAAGTGCTCTGAAAGGGATAGCCTCTAACCAAACTTGTATTATCTCAGAGAAGAAAATGTTTTCCTCAGTTTCCATAGCAGTTTTCCTGGGAAGTGATAACCAGAAGAGGATCCCGACCGGCAAAACAAGCTCAATGCTTGTAGCTCCTGGAGTGTTGTAAATGTGCAAAGATTCAGTGACTTTAAGGAATATCTTTTTGGGGGGAATTAGCTTTTTTCGTATCTATCTAAAAAGATGAATACCACCTATGTTTGTACACTACCTCTACAGCGTGCATCTGGTTAGCTTAGCATAAGGACTGGAAACCGGGGGAACAGCTGTCAAAAGATGACAGAAATCAAATGAGCAAATCCCCACAGTCAAACTGTTCCTGCAAAGGTGTTGCAGACCTTTGACGTAGAGAGCGAGCAACATAAAAGCGCTGTGAACTCGGTAACACTCGGTAACACTCGGTATATATATTTCTGTGTACGTGTGTTTATTCATGAGCATGTGTTTGCTATGGAAGAGGTCATTATTCCCGTGCTGTTTGCCAGGCATTGAAGCTGCCCGTGACCTGCGGGTTAACAAGCCAGAGACCAGAGGAGCAACAAAACACACACATGTACTCGCACATATGCAGAGCTAAGGCTTGATGCTTTCCAGACGTGCCCTCTCTTTCTCTCCCTCCTACATCGCCTGGCAATCTCACCACTCTCCACATCTCCCCCACACACACACACACACACACACACACTATTGCACCTCCCCCATTCCATTCTTCTTATCAAAGTTTGTGCTTCTTCAGCTTCCCTTTCCCATGCACAGACAAAACACTGAAGCTCTTCTCTTAATGACTCCAAGTGGTTACAATCTAAAACCCCGGCAAACCTATTGGCATTTATGTGTACCAGCTCACCAAGTACGACGAGCATGGGCAGCAAGACAGGTGAAGATATTGAAGGTCAGGCTGGAAAAAAACAGACATGCGTGCTGACCTCAGGATTTGGCTGAACTTTAAGGTGCATTAACCGCCTCGCATTCGACACCCAGCCCTGAGCTTCCCTCACTTCTGTTAAAGCATGGGTCAACAAGCCTTTCAACAGACACACACACACACACACACACACACACACACACACACACACCTGCACACAGAGGCGAGGACATAATGATAAAAGTGATGAAAGTGTATGATCCGAGTGCCTAGATAAACGCCATTGTTTGGATGGCATCTCGTAAATACAGCATCTAGACAGGCTATTACTGCAGAGCAGGTTAGGGCCAGTTAGTGCTCCAGGAACAGGCTGATGGATGAGAAGGTAAAAGTGCAATCACTCTCTGTGCTTATCTTTATCTTTCTCTATCAATATCACTGTCTTTCTCTTGCTTTTTGCTCCCCCCGTTCTCTCTATTAGAGACACATTGATCACCCGCCCCTGGCATATCACCTGAGTAATGGCTAAGGGTGTCTGGGCATTAAAACAACCCCAGTAGAGCGCCAAGAGCTTCATCACGGCAAATGGCTGTTCGCATTATAAAGTGTGCCTCTGTGCATGTGTATGTGTATGTGCGTGATCATAACGCAGGGGACTTTGCCATTAAGAGGAGACATCAAACCCGACCCAATAAGGATCCCAGACCACCAGACCTGTGACAAAGCGCAGCACCACTCAGCCACTTTAAGTCATTAATAATCTTTTCAGCGTGTGTGTGTGTTTTACATTCCTACAGCCACACTCTCAGTATTCTCAAGGGATATTTACGCACTTCAAACCTCAAACTTACTTACTTTCTTGCTCAGAGTTAGAGAAGGTCGATACCACTCTTGTGATAAAGAGGGGGGTATCAATCTACTTATCCAGCCCTCAGCAAAACGAGATCAACTATTCCCCACATTTTGTGGAAAATGATCTTATTTCACACTGCCTTACAGTATCACACATATATTCTGTATTCGCGTTGTCCAGCTTTTCAGACATGATGATCACTATTCACTCATTCAGAAATATTCTTGACATAATCGGTCAAATGTACTTTGGGAACTTTTTTAATCTCTACTACAATGTGAATTAATGTGCTATGAGGCAGGGCAAAGTTTTCCACATCACAAGTGTGTACTTGTGAGTCATTAATGTTCATGATCATACAACAACATTCAAGTATTCTATTCTAATTATTCTAAGGTCAATTTCAAACATTCAAGTTGATTCAGATTCAGCTACCATGTTAATTATTTAAGTAATAACATTCATGTTGACCTTGAACCTGTTAGGCCCCAAGCCTGTTTTTCAGGTCTTAGGCTCGAAAATGACATTTCCAGAACAAATGACCATAACTACACTTCTAAAAGGGGAAAATTCATAATCTTTTTTCTCAAAGTAATGATAAACCTGTGAGTTGGATGTAGAAAAGTAGTCAATATAGATGTTTTTTATTTTAAAGAAAATTCAGATTGAACATAGTAGAAAACTGTAAATTATAGTGTCCGTCCAAACATTATTTTTTTACTTATAGTGAAA